CAGCCTCCTGAGTAGCTGGGACTACAGGCACGCACCACCATGCCCAGCTAATTTTTTGTATTTTTATTAGAGACGGGGTTTCACCATGTTGACCAGGATGATCTCGATCTCTTGACCTCGTGATCCACCCGCCTCGGCCTCCCAAAGTGCTGGGATTACAGGCTTGAGCCACCGCACCCGGCCAAAAAAAAAAATTTTAAACTCAGTTGACAATCAAATCCTAACTTGAAGGAGGCGATTTAGAGACTTTATCAAACTTACTGTGAATATTCATATGTTTTGTTGCAGAAATATTAATATGTTTGATTACGTAGTACCACCCCAGAGCCTATGGGAGAAGGATATGGTATATATGATCTTTAACAACATATTTTACAAATCCAAAAATTCTATATTTCAAAATATTTTTGGCCTCCAGGGGTTTCAGATAAAAGATAGTGAATCTATGTTTTCTATGTCTTACCTATGTGTAAACTCACTGCTGTTCTGCCAGTTATTTACTTTTTATCTTTTATGACATAGTTTTATACTTTAGTTTCTAAGACCAATATAAAATTTATTTTTAGGCTGGGTGTGGTGACTCACACCTGTAATCCCAGCACTTTGGGAGGCCAAGGCAGATGGATCACTTGAGGTCAAGAGTTTGAGACCAGCCTGGACCACATGGTGAAACCCCATCTCTACTAAAAATACAAAAATCAGCTAGGTGTGGTGGCAGGCTCCTGTAATCCCAGTTACTTGCAAGGCCAAGGCAGGAGAATTGCTTGAACCAGGGAGGTGGAGGTTGCAGTGAGCCGAGATCACACCACTGCATTCCAGCCTGGGTGACAGAGCAAGACTCAGTCTCAAAAAAAAATAATAATAAATAAAATTTATTTTTAAAAAATAATTGCCCAAACTACATTATATAAGTGCCTAATGCATATAAAACATGTATTTACATTCATGTTAAAATACACAAAAAATGAATCAGTTTTAATAAACTAATATGCTATGCAAATAAACTAAAGAAATAAGGTTGATACCCTAAATTTATACAACAAAAATTGGTTATTTTTGCTAATTTCTCTAGTAGCTAGTGAATGCACTCTAAAAATAGAGATTGTAGTGGTAAAAGTACTTTAAGAACCAGGTAGCTTGTATTTAAGTGGTAGCAAAAATTCCCTACCTAAATTACTTACCCCATTTCCTGTTTTACCAGCAACCATGCAGCATGCTGTAGGCAATTTAGTCACACCCAGAAAGAGAAAAGGAGGAAACATGAAATTAAGTCTCAGTATCATTACTGAAGTGCTTAACTAATTTGCTAATCAAACTCCCGTTTTTAGGAGATGAGTTAGTATTCAGAAATTTACCAGTGACCTCAGTCTCATTTAAAATCAGAAATGCGGTAAGATTTTACTGTGGCTTACGAATTCAACAGGGGTATCCCTCTCCTCCCTACAGATTTCTATTTCTCATTAATGAGGCATGAGTGTTTCTTTTTCTTCTTGTTTTTTGAGATGGAGTCTCACTCTGTTGCCCAAGCTGGAGCGCAGTGGCAGGATCTCAGCTCATTGCAACATCGCTTCCCAGGTTCAAGTGATTCTCCTCCTTCACTCTCTCAAGTAGATGGAATTACAGGCGCCCACCACCACACTGAGCTAATTTTTGTACTTTTTTTTTTTTTTTTTTTGAAGATGGAGGAGTCTCACTCTGTCGCCCAGGCTGGAGTGCAATGGTGCGATCTCGGCTCACTACAACCTCAGTCTTCCGCGTTCAAGCAATTGTCCTGCCTCAGCCTTCTGAGTAGCTAGGACTACAGATGCGCACCACCACACCCAGCTAATTTTTGTATTTTTTTAGTAAAGACGGGGTTTCACTATGTTGGTCAGGCTGGTGTCAAACTCCTGACCTCGTGATCCGCCCGCCTCGGCCTTCCAAAGTGTGGGGATTACAGGTGTGAGCCACCGCGCCCGGCAATTTTATTTTTGGTAGTAACAGGGTTTCGCCATGTTGGTCAGGCTCGTCTCTGAACTCCTGACCTCAAGTGATCCACCTGCCACGGCCTCCCAAAGTGCTAGGGTTACCTGCGTGAACCACTGCGCCTGGCCCGGATTAAATGAAATTTATGCCAAATGCTTTGCATAGTAAGTGACTGACACTGAGATTTCTGTTTCCTGTTAGACTCCCACAGCTTCACCTTAAAGAAAGGTAATGGTATGTCCCCCACAGCACACAGCATTTTGTAAACATGACAGAAACATTGTATAAGTCAGTAAAATACCATACAGTATGTAGTTTCTGTTTCTATGTGTCACAAAAAAGGGTCAAAGATTATCATTCACATCCACTTCAAGACATGGCTTAATTTATGTATATGCTGTAGAGCCCTGTCCTTCTAAACTAACAGGACTTCCTTCAAGTGAACAGCAGGGCATTCTATAGACTCCTAAAGACTGATGATCACTTGGAAAGATTAGCTGCATTAATTCTTTCAGACGTGAGCCAAGTGGAATAAATTAATTGCAAGCTAGGCACAACTTGTTCCCAGTGATGGCAGCGTGGACCCTCCAGAGTGGCCACTGCCATCATGCCTGCTGCAGCAGGGAGGTGCAGGCAGTAGCGGCAGGAGGGGTTGTGGGAGCAGCAGTGGCGGCGGTGGGACTCGTGCCCTCCATGTCCCTGAGGCAGCCAACAGTGCCACCTCTGCCCTCGCATGGCCTACCAGGACCTGCTCTCAGTCCCAAAACTTCCGTCCCGGCCTAAACCTCACTCCTCAACGCATCTCAGGAGCCTACGAGCACCCAGCTGCGCAGCCAGGACTTGTGGTGCCGGTCCTGAGAGTGTGGGGTTCCTTTGTGCGGGGTTGGCTGGGGCCGCGCCTCTGCTGTGGGGAAAACACGGAGAGGCAGGCAGTCCCCAGAGTCCCACACAAGTTGTGGCTGCACTCAGGCATCTCTGCACTCTCACATCTCTGCACATCCCACCCACCTGAGGCTGGGAGTTCGAGACCAGCCTGACCAACATGGAGAAACCCTTTCTCTACTAAGGCTACAAAATTATCCAGGCATGGTGGCACATGCCTGTAATACCAGCTACTCGGGAGGCTAAGGCAGGAGTTACTTGAACCCAGGAGGCAGAAGTTGCAGTGAGCTGAGATCGGGCCATTGCACTCCAGCCTGGGCAACAGGAGCAAAACTGTGTCTCAAAAAAAGAAAAAAAAAGGCAGGCTCTGCTTCTATTGTGTGATCCCTAGCAAGGTGGCTTCTCTCTCTGGGTTTCTCAAACCACAAGATGAAGGTATTCAATTTATTTAGGGGGTACTGCCTATGTGGTGAGATTAAAACTGAGAAAGCAGAGATAAAAAAATCAGTCTCTACCCATGAGCAAACCCATGAACTCATAAATAAATAAATATTAATACATTAATAATTAGTAACACTAATGAAAATAATTAAAATGCAGAGTGGTGGGGGCTGAGACAGAGATACACTTAGGAGGGGCATGTAAAGAATCCTCAGCTCAGTCTTGCAGAAGTGATACCTAATCTGAGCTTCGAAGAATCAGCTACTTAGAATTCACAGGGTAGGCCAGGTGTGGTGGCTCACATCTGTAATCCCAGCACTTTGGGAGGCTGAGGCAAGTGGATCACCTGAGGTCAGAAGTTCGAGACCAGCCTGGACAACATAGTGAAACCCCATCTCTACTAAAAATACAAAAATTAGCCAGGCATGGTGGCACACACCTGTAATTCCAGGTACTAGGGAGGCTGAGGCAAGAGAATCGCTTGAACCTGGGAGGAGGAGGTTGCAATGAGCTGAGATTGCACCACTGCACTCCAGCCTGGGCAACAGAGCAAGACTTCATCTAAAAAAAAAAAAAAAAAAGAATTCACAGGGTAAAGAAATGTGGAAAGTATGTTGCAAACAGAGGAAACCCTAAGGTGCAAATGCCAGAGAGCACTGGGAAGGTTCTGAGGACTATGTCAGTGGTCTCTAAAAAGCTGAGGATGTGTGGCTGGGAAATGCAAAGGAGGACGCAGGACTTAGGTCACAGAACCGTTGTAACCATACTAAGGGATTTAGATATTCCCCTTAAGGAATATGGTGCCACAGAAGAACTTTAAGGAATGAAGTATATTTCTCTTCAGGATTGCTCACTGTGGTTGCATTATGAATTCGAAGAAAAATATGGGAATTAAAGAAAATGAAGATTTTTGGTCAACTAAAGCAAGAAATAATATGGCAATGCTAGTAAGGATAAAGAGTAGCCAGCTTTAAGAAGCATTGAAGACGCAGATTGGCAGGACTTGCTGATTGGCAGTGATGTTGAGGTTTCTAAATCACCACCAATGCCCTTCAAACTATATTCTTATACATCTCTTGGACTCATTTATAATAACAAAGAAAACCTAGAGTTAAATGGTTTTTTCAGTCTATACAAATATAGACTGAGAATAATGACATAGAAAAATAACAACAGTTGTGTGGGCAGCTGGAGGCATTTAGCAGTAATCCCTGCTCCAAACTCTTCTCCCAACACATACACAAACACATATACATACATACATACATTTATGTATTTTTTTTTCTTGCATACTAATAGCCATTTGGGAACTGGGCTCAATAAGGAGGTTAGTGACAAGAGAAACTTCTTCCTTCTCTCCATCCAGACCACCGCCTAAGATTTCCTCCTTTTTCTCCTCCCCATCCCCAGCCTGCTAGTACCTTAAACTTCTGCCCCATCAGGGCCTGCGCCTCACCGTGTGTCGGGGTTGTGGCAGCATTATATAACCTTGAACATCTGCCTCTCCAGGGCCTGCCCCTCACCTTGTGCCTGAGGCGTGGCAGCAGAAAGAGGAAGGTAAGAGAAGATGGGAGAATATTTTCCTATCATCACTGCTTGATATACCACTTAGTTGACTCCTGCACCACCTCGCCTCCACCACCTCCCATCTCAATCCTACTTTCTTCTTTTCCCCAAAGCCTTGGATGTCAGACCTGTGATTAAATGAATGTAGCAGACTGAATCTGGATGTCTCCTCTGATGAATAAAACTTATGTCAGCCATGTTAAAAAACCCATCAAAATTCTCTTTCCCTACACGATTGAGAAAAGAGAAAATGAAGTGAGACGTAAGAAGAGACCATTTAACTCTAGGTTTTGTCTCTACTTTGGCAATAAAAATTTACATAGCATTAAAAAGGTTGAAGATCTTCTTCTGGGACAAGTCAACAGGGGAAAAGCAAGGACAGACCAGCAAAGATAGAATGAATCTGTGGGGCCAAATTAGGTTGCACAGCTCTATTGCTCCAGTTCCTGGTATTGCTATTTTTATGTTGTGAGTTTTAAGGAAATTGCATTGTGTCGTCCAACACTATAGGTGCTGATGTTTGTTTAGCTCTGAAGGATTTCATTGGAAATAAGAAGAGGAAATTCTACAAGTGGGGTGGTGTAGGAGTAGAGGCAGGGTGGGGGATCAGAAAAGACAGAACAGTCACAATAAAGAAAAGGCTCCAGGATAGATAAAATAAATGAAGATAGATATGGCTCAGTCTTGACCTTTTAGTGTCATGTGAAAATGAGAGAGAATACATATAGCAACTAAATTTCAGGTAACTCTAGAGTTAATAACATCAGTGAAGCAAGGATCTCAAACATCTGTTGGCAGCTGGGTGTGGCTGAGAAGTGTAAATGTACTTCCTCTTTGAATTTGATTTTAGAGAGCCAGCATCTTCACTGACACTTTCATAGGGGCCAGGACTTTGTACAGTGAAGCCTCATTCTAAGGATACCTCTGAGTTCCTGCTTTGAGCACAATACAAGTTTCAAGAAATCCAGCACAACCATCAGAGGATAAGGCTGACCTGTGACAGCAGCTTCCCTAGAGGACCCGCTCCCACCAACTCTCTTGCCTGTCACTATGGAACTCCATGCCTTTCATCCAAGACTATCATTAGAAATCCACTAGCTCGCATAACTAAATCACTTCTAGAAACTTGGCCTGTGTACAAAATATCAGCCACAAGAAAGAACCAAAACACCAAGTAGGTCAGTGCTCCCATTCAAGTTGCAGTTCCGTTGGCAAACATACATGAACACACAATAAATGTGTAAAAACAAAAATGCACGCAAATATGTAATTGTATATACAGATGCAGATATATGCACATGTAGACTATTCAAAGAAGATATGAAGAATTATAGAAGATAAGTACAGGCATCTTCAAAAATA